AACAAAGTGATTTAGTGTGCAGCATCCACACTTGTTCCAGTTGCCCCCAAATCACCACAAAACAGTTTGTTATGGTTACAAAACACACAATGAAGTAACTTCAACAAATGTTAATATGGAATAAAAGTAAAACATGAAGAATAAAAGCAGTCTTGCTCTTTAAGAACAGAGAGGATTTTTTCTCTGTAGGTTTATCTTTGAATGCAGTGAATCAGCCTTCACTGATAAAGTTTATGGATCTGAGCTGCTAACTGACAAACTATCTGCTTCTTGTTTAGGTTGTAATGGATATGAATATTCTTCTTCTCCAGTAAGTGTTATTCTTTGATTTATTTTCAAACAAATATAGTTTCTTTGAAATAGATGCGCTTGATGTTTTTCACTCAGCTGTTGTTTGTTTGTTTGTGTTTTAATCAGGAGTATTGCTATGAACTCAGAGGACCTTTCTGAAACACTTCAACCAGAACCTGCAGAGCAACAACAAAACATGTTTCTTTTCTTTGTACAGTTTTGGGGCTGATTGTTCTTTAAACACCAAACTGTCCATAAATGATTTGAACTTTTCATGCACTCAATACATGATGTGCACACTGAATCCATAAAGTGTCGATGGCTCGCTGAGGTCTGAATAAAATGTTTCATCATCAGAGACGTCTTTGTATTGCTTTGTCTACTAACTGTGTAGAACTGTTCTTTTATTATGCACACCAAAATGTTGTTCAATAAATAACAATAACGGAAACATTATAGTAAGCACACAAGCTCAAGCTTATTGATTTGTTTTACTTCATGATGGTGTTGGCTTTGGTTAGTGACCGAGAGAATGAGATTGTGGATACAAGCTGCAGAAAACAGCTTCATCTGAAGGTTGGCTGAACTCATTTTTACAGATGAGGTGATGATAAGTTGATGCACCACAGGATCACAGAGAAACGTGTCATACACACACTGGTCCACTGTTACACAGTTAACAGTTCTCACAGGTTGACATTTTCAAACAGTCTGTGACGGCACAAAAACCATCATTTGGTGTCCTGGTCCAAGAAACATACAACCCAACATTTGAGCCAAGCCCAAAGATTCTTGTGATTCACAATATCAAAAGCAGAAAGCAGCTAATGTCCAAAAGAATGAGAGCTGTGATATCTCCTGAATCTAATGTGACAAATAATCGATCACCTTCAACAAATCTTTTTC